CCACTCACTCACTCACCCACCCACTCACCCACTCACTCACTCACTCACCCACCCACCCACTCACTCACCCACTCACCCACTCACTCACCCACTCACCCACTCACTCACCCACCCACTCACCCACTCACTCACCCACCCACTCACCCACCCACCCTCTCACTCACTCACTCACCCACCCACTCACCCACTCATCCACTCACTCACTCACCACTCACTCAGTCACCCACCCACTCACTCACTCACTCACCCACCCACCCACCCACTCACTCACTCACCCACCCACTCACTCACCCACTCACTCACTCACCCACCCACTCACTCACCCACTTACTCACTCACCCACCAACCCACTCAGTCACTCAGTCACCCACTCACTCACCCACCCACCCACTCACTTACCCACCCACTCACCCACCCACTCACTCACTCACCCACCCACTCACTCACCCACCCACTCACTCACTCACTCACCCACCCACTCACTCACTCACCCACTCACTCACCCACTCACCCACTCACTCACTCACCGCCCACTCACCCACCCACCCTCACTCACTCACTCACCCACCCACCCACTCACTTACCCACCCACCCACTCACTCCTTCACTCACCCACCCACCCACCCACTCACTCACTCACTCACCCACCCACCCACCCACCCACTCACTCACTCACTCACCCACTCACCCACCCACTCATCCACTCACTCACTCACCACTCACCCACTCACTCAGTCACCCACCCACTCACTCAATCACCCACCCACCCACTCACTCACCCACTCACTCACTCACCCACTCACTCACTCACTCACTAACTCACCCACCCACCCACCCACTCACTCACCCACCCACTCACTCACTCACCCACCCACTCACCCACTCACTCACTCACTCACCCACCCACCCACTCACTCACCCACTCACCCACTCACTCACCCACTCACCCACTCACTCACCCACCCACTCACCCACCCACCCTCTCACTCACTCACTCACCCACCCACTCACCCACTCATCCACTCACTCACTCACCACTCACTCAGTCACCCACCCACTCACTCACTCACCCACCCACCCACCCACTCACTCACTCACCCACCCACTCACTCACCCACTCACTCACTCACCCACCCACTCACTCACCCACTTACTCACTCACCCACCAACCCACTCAGTCACTCAGTCACCCACTCACTCACCCACCCACCCACTCACTTACCCACCCACTCACCCACCCACTCACTCACCCACCCACCCACTCACGCACCCACTCACTCACCCACTCACTACTGATGACGTTGTTGATGTTGTTGTTGTTGATGTTCTTGATGTTGTTGTTGATGTTGTTGTTGTTGTTGATGTTGTTGATGTTGTTGATGTTGTTGTTGTTGTTGACGTTGTTGTTGATGTTGTTGTTGATGTTGTTGTTGATGTTGTTGTTGTTGTTGATGTTGTTGTTGATGTTGTTGTTGATGTTGTTGTTGATGTTGTTGTTGTTGTTGTTCCAGACACGCTGCGACGAGGCCGACGGAGACAGGGGGCTGGGGCCGCGGCTCGCCCCCCCCAGGGCCCCCCCCAGGGCCCCCCACAGGGCCCCCTACAGGGACCCCTACAGGGAGTTCCATCAAAGAGAGGGGGTAGTCACTCAGAGGCCATGGAGTTACAGGGGAGGGCTCGCTAGCTACCACCACTACTACAACAACTACTACTAATACCACTACTACTACTACCACAATTACTACAACTACAACTATCACTACTACAACTACTACTAATACCACTACTACTACAACAACAATTACTACCACCACTACTACTACTACCACAATTACTACAACTACAACTATCACTACTACAACTACTACTAATACCACTACTACTACAACAACAACAATTACTACCACCACTACTACTACTACCACAATTACTACAACTACCACTACCACCACAACTATCACTACTACTACAACTACAACAATTACTACAACTACCACTACTACCACAATTACTACAACTACCACTACTACAACTACTACCACAATTACTACAACTACCACCACAACTATCACCACTACTACTACTACCACAATTACTACAACTACTACAACAATTACTACCACCAAAACTACCACAACTAATACTACCACCACTACTACAACTACTACCACAATTACTACAACTACCACTACCACCACAACTATCACTACTACTACAACTACTACTAATACCACTACTACTACAACAACAATTACTACCACCACTACTACTACTACCACAATTACTACAACTACAACTACCACTACTACAACTACTACCACAATTACTACAACTACCACTACTACAACTACTACCACAATTACTACAACTACCACTACCACCACAACTATCACCACTACTACTACTACTAATACCACTACTACAACAACAACAATTACTACCACCACTACTACTACTACCACAATTACTACAACTACAACTATCACTACTACAACTACTACTAATACCACTACTACTACAACAACAATTACTACCACCACTA